CAATGCGAGAAAAATAACAATTTCCTGTCCCGAATCTAATCGGCTTCGTGAGAAGCAATAAGAAAAGATAATTGCAGACAGTTCGTTTGCAGAAAATGAAGCCGTGTCAGTGTCCTATTGGCCTGAAGTCCTCTTCTTCCCAACTCCCACCGTCCCACAAACTCGGCATTCAGTGTCCAATAGTTGAATGGACAGACGTAATCTGTGCTCTTCCAGGATGAAGAAACAGTTTTCGCTAAAGTTCTTTTACATGCCGATTACTACGCTTTTGGTATGTTCACGTGTAGAACTGGCGGGACTCAAGTCTGGGACCAATTGACACTCTTGGCCATTTTTCTCTCCAAAATACCTTCTTTTCGAGCCTCTAATCTTGGCGATCAGATACTACTTCGTTGCTTATCCAACCTCCGCTTAGCGGAGGCCGAGTCTCGAAGGGCCGCCTTGAGAATGAATTATGATTAAGTCGACGATTTTAAATAATCCAATTTCAGCATGTCTCCCGTGGCAACTTGGAGTACGATGTAGATCAAGTCAGAAGACACGTCCAAATGGATGACGAATGTATGGAGTGGAGAAATGAAGGACTGATCAAACGTCGGATACATCCTTTCTTTTTCCCATTTGATCTGAGCCAACACTCGGACTTGGTGGACAGAGTCAATTTTAGTTCGGTCATTCAGTCAGTTGCAGACGCAGAATTTACTCCTTCCAGAAGGACGACCCGCCAACCAAGCAACTCGCAGGTGACTCTGGTCGGTCAAATGGCAATGGACAGGCGAGTTGGAAATTTATTTTTAGCATTTTTTCATATTTTTCAATTTACCATTTCCTTTTAAACTGTTGACAAGAGTACAAATACAGGCCATTCAGTGGGTCTTTTATCCGAAGAGTGATTTTCTTTCCAGAACCATCCACTCGATGGTTGCAAATCAAGAGCCTCAATCGCAACGTGTCACGAGGATAAGAGAAATTTCGTTTCTGCCGAAACAATCCTCGTAGCCAAGCGGACTAATAATTTGAGAAAGAATCGCCATCCATTCTATGGGATGCAATAAATTTTAGAACGAGCCTGGCTGGCAGTTTACTTTATCGACGAGTGGCCAATTCGTCATTTAAATCGAGTATAAGTGATCCTCGTGAAAACAGATAATTGGTAGGGTTTTTTTTATAGCCAAAACGCCGATTTTGCCAGAAATGAAAATGCCTACGTATATACTGGAAATTGTTCAAAATAAGAAATATTTATTTCAATGATTAATTTTAAGTTTCTTCATCTTTCCTCTGCCTAGCAACATCTTCAACGGGCTTCTTACACAGTACCCGCTTAACAGACCTCGGAAGGTGGATTTAGTTGAGACAAAAAGTTTTGTACAAGTCTTTCCACGTAATCCAACAATCGTGCTTCTTGAGGGCATCAAATTTCATTTAAAAGTCACCTCATTCCAGCTTAACTGGACCTGAATTCAATTTAGACCTCACCTCACCGTCCCTTACGAGCACATGCAATGCGGTTCGAGCTCAAGTTGTGAATGTCCTGACGTCTGTATCGTGGAACAATGGGGCCACGGGAGTCAGTGTGTCGCAGAGCAGATGTGAAATTCAAGACGGACAAAATCTCTGCTAAACCACTTTTAATAGAAAGATTGTCGAATAAGCTAATTCGTATTTAGTATAACGCTTGACGACGTTATTTACTTTCAATATAAAAGAATCACTTTAAGGAAACTATGGAGGTTATCGCAATTTAAACGTAGCTACGAAGACCAAGATATTGCGGCCTCTATTTCGGTTGCAGTCTCCTTTCCACTTAAGACAAGGTGAGTCCATCTACGTCGCCCTGACAACATGATCAAGTTGCGAATATGTAGTCAGTCCACTCCTGGGGAAACTATGTTCTTTTTCTGGAATCAATGAAACACTTTAAAACTACTCAATTTGTGGATAAGTAACATCGTAGATTGCAATTGCAAATACATCTTTTTTCAATCGTCAATCTCACAAAAAACTGATTTGAATGAGATCTGGCACACATGCCCTGCGATCAAAAGTGTCTAATCTGCGATTGTGTAGTTGTCTGTGGTGATGTCGTCAGAATACTCACAACACGGGCTAGAATCCCGTTGAAGGGACTGATAAAGGAAAAAAGGCAAAGTCAAAACTAATTTCCGGTCCAGTCGGGATGAGATTCGCTTTTCGGAGGCAAGTACTATTCGGCTGATTGTATGACTAAACCAAATTGTACTTTCTTCAAACCGGCTAAAGTGGCTTAGTTTTCGCATTAGAGTAGAGTTTCGAGACTACCAGTAAATCAGTATTATGAAATGTATTCACCCTATTTCGTCTACGGTGATGAAGGAGTGGTAGTAGAATTTTCCGACAATCACATTTCGTTCAATTTCACATACCCTAGCTTTCTCAAAAGTTGTTTTCATCCAGGCCCCAGTGGACTGCAGTTTCGACCTCGCATCGGTCATGTCAACACCCTCAGCGGGAGTCGAACCGTAACAGTGCAGAATAGGAACTTGAGACGTCAACCACTCGGCCACATTGCCATGATCCAATTATTAAAATCAAATTTATTTATTTATTTTCATATGTCTTTCTAACCTGTCAAAAAACTGTATCATGTAACCTGTCCGCTATACTTTAGAGCTCAAAAAAGTCTTCCGGACTATCAGCCTCGGACATGTAATGCCTAATTAAGTTTGCACAGTTACGTGTATAATAAGCGACCGGGTGGGTGAGTATAGTTGGGCACTATTTCGCAAAGTATAGACTCCTTTTCTAATGATTTGTGTCACGAGTGTAGCAAATGAAACTTAGCAATGGTTGAACAGGGTCGTGGGACGGTGAGCCGAGAACTTCTTCGCACAATGCAACTGTCTTCCACACTCGACAATCCTCCTTCCGCTTTCGCTGAGGCCACATCACGAATTCATTCCAGCCAACTTTTCGTGCCAAATAGAAAGACATGCCACAGTCTATCGATAAGGAATTCTTCGAAACCCAGCTTTGTCATCAATTCACTTTCAGGGAGGAAAAGTAGGCCTGAATAGATTGTCTCGGGAAATTCGCTTTAGCACGGATAGATCTTTGGTACAGTTGAAAATATTTATTCTCCCAAGTTCTGCAGTTTTGGCTTAGTTACAGAAATACTGTTGATGTAATTTCCATCTTAAAAGACCCAATTGTTGACACTATCCACAGACGAGGGCCGATTCCTATCAGCAAGCGACATTTCTATTGCCGAAGCATATATGAAGAAAAATTCGGTTTCAAGGAATCTTTGGGTTTACATTTTCTGATCTCATTTCAAGTAAAAGTGTGTGTGATACAGAGATTCATGGGTCGATTCAGGCAGCAGAAGAAGAGTGCGGATTCCACTTTTTTATCTTTCTGTTATTTTTACGTGAACATTTTTGTCGACACTGTCTCCGCGGCAATCTCCTCCAATTCCGGTGAAAAGATGCTTAGCTCTGCCTGTCATGTCGCTTGAACATCATCAAGACAGCATGAGCTAACGGATGAAGAAAAGCCACCGGCTTCTCCCTAAACACTCTATAAATAACCATAAATATATGCATTTTTATGCGATCTAAGGCGATTTGCTGAACTGAATTGTGCTGCCAATCGAAAAGAATGCGTGCGTGTGTTTCAGTGTGTACATGTGCATGTCTCTTACGCTGTGTGTTTTTGCTGAAGACCAGCTGTGAGCTAACACCTTAAGCTATCTGGACTTGTTAGCTCGAATGTTCTTGTGAGAATGATGACTTTCTCTGATGACGTTGGTGATAGGAAGCACGAAGACTCAGCACGTGTTCAGTGGAATCAAAGAAGATGGCTGCAATGCAGCCAAAAGTGGGCTTCCGTCGTCGCTTTATGCCATCCAACTTGGCATCTCTCTTCATCAAAAAGCACCAATCCACACGAAAAGGATGGAGGCTCAACGACTCTGTACGACGCAATGGAGCAGAACGCTTGCGCAGGCTTGATACCGTTTTACCGGGTCCTCTGATTGAATTCGAATGGGCTTGACGACTGAGCACGAGTAGACTACTCGAGGCACCGGACTGGAGTTGAGGCCAACCGACGTCTTGAGGATACAGTTTTCTCAAAGAATGTCGGTCTCGGCAACGGCCCATGCAACCCTTCGAGCCAGTCGATTGACCTTTTCTTGACCTTCGAGACCTACCAGTTGACGGTTCGACTCCCGGCAGAAAGCCCATTTCAGCTGACACAAAACAGCACAGCGCAGTGTAGTGGTGCCGTTCTCGGGGACAGCATCGTTATGCGCCATGGAGACTGGAGAGCCTGGCCAACAAATCGTCAAGACAATGGCATCATCTAATTCTGGAAATTTTGGCATAAATTATCGGAATTTGGCTCGAATGCGAAAACAGACGAGGAAATATCGGATGGAACAGTGCAACATTGAGGCTGTACAGACTCAGAAAGGTGTGAACAACTGCAGAGTAGAGATAAACATGCAGTCTGTATGCAGCCTGGCCTCGACGGTTTACCGCCTAGACGAGTCAAACGGAAGGGACTCAGAGCTGAGACACTGATTGCTTTCGAAACCAGTACCGGCAATTGATGTACAGAAGGCTTGCATTTAACGGCGCCGTCGTTGGAGCAGTTGGTTTGGATTTTGACCTCGAAAAAGAGCCATTTGCTTGTCTTCGGATGGCAGCCCTTATTTGTCACCATGTTGATGCTAATGCCCATGATGATACAGATGTCGAGGTAGAAGTGAATCGCGAAGAAACAGACACACAAGAGTGGCATCAGCGAAAATGGTGGCACACTAACGGACGCCTTACTGCTAAAGACGTTGGCCAGAACTGAGCTAGAGTGAAATCACCACCAATTCCATTTACAAAATTTGATCCCGAGCTGAGTGGTTGAAATCCCATCTTTTAAGCATATGTCAATTGTCAATATATAAACTGGCTTTGTGGTGTACCTGAATTACTACATGGGTCACTCAGAATAGCCAATTGTTTTTTGCGGTGGAGGAGGGCTGGTGGTATAAATAACTTTAATATGAGATGTATTCATCCTATTTTGTTTAAGGTGATGAAGGAATGGTAGTACAATTTTCCCACAATCATATGAGTTGAGCTGACGTTTCCATTGAAGTTTCCATTGCCTGGATGAGAAGATATTTTAGGAAAAACTTATCATATTACTGATTTATTGGTAGTCTCGAAACTATACTCAAATAAGAAAATATTTCAATCTATGAGATGTATTCAGCCTATTTCGTTCAAGGTAATGAAGGAATGATAGTACAATTTTCCCACAATCATATGAGTAGAGCTGACGTTTCCATTCAATTTCACAGAGCCCTGCTTTTCCATAAGTTGTTCTCATTCAGACAGAAGTGGACTGCAATTTCGACCTCACCTCCAGCGGGAGTCGAACCATGGCAGTGCAGCACGTGAGCTTGACACGTCAAACATTTAGCCATATTGCCACGAGTCCCCTTAGGTCACGGAGAAGATGTCAATTTTCCCATGTCACATTTCTTGGTGGGACTGTCGATGAGGCAAATGTATATTTACTATAACAATCGACTACACTATTTATTTTTCGTATAGAAGTAGAGGTTCGAGACTACCAGTAAATCAGTAATATGAGATGTAATCACTCTATTTCGTTTAATATAATGAGAGGCTGGCTGTAGACTTTTCCCAAGTCAGCTCTACTCATATAATTGTGGGAAAATTCGACCACTATTCCTTCATCATCTCAAACGAAATTGGGTGAATACTTCTCATATTACTGATTTACTGATAGTCTCGAAAATCTACTTGCACATGAAAAATAAATAACTCTAATTCAGGAGTTACTGACAGTTTCGAAATATACTTAAAAATGTTTATAACAATATCGTCGATTGTACCGGCAATTATAATTGTGCCTTGAGATGTGCTCGTTATATTCAATTTACGGCGAGGAAGGTGGTAATAATTTAACGAATAGGTTGAATACATCAAAGAAAATAGGCAGATGTCATAAGTCTAGATCTCTTGACGACAATGAGGTAAGCTAGTTTTTCTATTTTAGGAATTTGGCAACGAATAGTAACTTGGTTTCGATGAACCCTCTGATATAAGATTGTTGGAGAGACCTTTATTTCGTATAAAAGTGCATGAAGAAGATATTCTTAGGCTGATCTCACCAGAAGACGACGACTGAATCGCGTTGTACTGCAACTACTTAGTTCAGGCTGAAGCAGTCCACGGGACATCCTACCTCGCTTCGGGTGGAAACCGACTGGGCTTTCATCCATCATTTGATGGACATCATCAGAGCTGAATGAGTCTGAGTAAAGGTAAAACGATCACTGAACGGACATATTTAGTCGCCTTCTTTTAAATGGTGGATAAGTGAAATTCTACAGAATCTATTAGACCTACTCATCTGATTGTGAAAATATTTTAGCATCAATCCTTTATTTACTCATGCGACATAATGAGACTGGAAAAGTTAAAATAGCTGAAATTGTGAGTAGGCGGAAAAAATGTGTGAACTTGAGCTGGATTTATTTGTTAGTATTTTGTAGGCCAGTAGTCCGAGTCTTGCAGAGCTCGCCTGATTAGGCAGTATTAATCAACAAATGTAATATTTTCTTTTTCTTATATGATTTATTGTAACCCGAAAAAAATCACCTTTTTTTAAAACGAACAGGCTCTGTAAATATCTGCACATCTTAAATAAGAGTTGTAGTCACATGTTCGAGGATTGAT